CACACACACACACACACACACACACACACACACACACACACATACATACACACACACATACACACATACACACGCACATACTCACACACGAGCGCGCGCAAAACATATACTAAGCTAATCTAACCGTGTCTTGTACTCACCTGCCCCGCGGTGTCGCTGATGTTTATGATATAGCGGTCGTTTCCAACGCAGAAAGGAACTGATGGATAGAAAAAAGGAAAAGTTTGCGGTTATGATAAGTCATATAATATGTGCAAAGCAGCAAAACAGTCAAAAGTACCACATAGAGACTGTTTTTCCAAAACTCAGTAAAAGTATTAAATACTTTTGTTTTGAAAGAAAAACCAATTCAATAAAAAGCAACATGTGCTTTACAAGACCTAAACGTCATAGATTTCACGCAAATAACATCCCATAACCTACTGTAGGAGAGTCAGTTTTGGTACTGTGTTTAAATCAAATGTATTGTTCCACTATACTCACAAATTCTGCGTTTAGGAAAAACACTAATCAATAACTGTGTCGCTGTTACGAGGTTTAGATGGAAGGTCAAAGTATTGGGTTTTTCCTTGAGTAGGACACGAAAACTCTGATGAAAAATGTGCGCTGCACAAGTGCACATATTATAAGACCAGACAATCATAGACCACGAGCATGACAAGGCAGCACGATCTGGGACAGTGTTGATAAAATGCTTTTTCCATAGACTTGAATCAGAATACGCTGAACTGTGCAATGTCATGGCTGCAACTCTTTACTGTAGATAAAAAGTATATTACGAAACGTGCACACCAAGGGCGCTCATAATGTAGAACAAAATATCACTCTCCTTAGAGTAGACTGCGTGCTGTACCCCCCTCCCCCTTCCACTTCCCCGCCCTTGAACTGGCTCTGAATTGAGTCAAATAGTACGATCCATAGCCAATAAGAATTGCGTCAGAGTGTGTAGAATGTTATAATATAGGTCTATCGTTCGGTGTGCCCGTTTTCGTTCCACATCTTCGTTTCACCACCCGTTCTCGTCCCACTTTCTTCTGCCACGATTTGTACCCGCTTTCGTCCCACAATAGCAGTAATATAATGTATCCAACAACTGCCCGATACCTATACTCCCTCCCCCAATCTCTCCCTGATTTCTCTCTCTCTCTCTCTCTCTCT